CAAAAGAACAAGTGCCAATAAGTATTCTAAGCCCCAGAGAAGAGTTACAGACAAGGAAACTGAGGTGTGCAGAGGCTAACTGGCCTGTTTGAGGGCACACAGCTAGTTGGTGCCAGGACCAGAATAGAGACATCCATCTGTTTGGCTCCACAGCCTGAGCTCTAGCCACTAGGGTGTTGTAAAATGTAAGTCTATGAACAATTTTTAAAAATGAAATGGGTACAAATGAAGAACTGAGAAAGAAGGGGAAAAAGGTATCAAAAAAGAAAAAAAAAAGATGAGGGATTACCAAGGAAGACAAAGTTCAAGGTTAGTATATTTTATTTTGACATATTATTTCTACATGGGATGCTGTGTGTCTGGGCACAAAATGGAAGCAACTGGGTAGGAAGGATTTTTGAAAACTCTTTTCAGTGCTTACTCTTGGATTGCCTTCACTACTCACAGTGTAATTGCAGAGAGACTGGGAGATGACTAGGTATAACCACAAAGCATGCCACATTATAATATAAATGCATCTATTGTCTCTAAACTTCACCTCTACACTGGACAGCTCTTTAATAACCATAGCACTGTAACTCAAAACCAAATATTTTCTCATAGGACGTTAATGGAAACAAGCTAATGAAACTACAGTTACCTTTTGAAGGCCCTTTTGCTATATAAGACTATAAAATCTTTAGTAACAAAGTTTTATTGTATAATGAGGAAGTTCTGAAAAAAGTCATGAGAAAAAAAGCTAAAGTAGCATATGAAACTCTGGGCTACCTGCCAGATTAATTATGTTATTTTTTTTCTTCTTTTGTTCCCTTTTTTTTTTTTAAGAAATGAGCACTGGTTTACCAAACAATACGAAAGTCAAAAGGCAACATTTCAGAGATATTTTTTCTCCAGCTTAGCATTTCCTCCTTTTTACCACCATGTTCATCATCATTACTTATGCACTTTCCCCTTGAACAAAAATGAAAATACAAAACACTGTCACTCCAATAACACATGGCCCTGACCAAGTCTTCCACAGTTGGATCCCTGAGAGAGTCAGGCAGTCCAGAACCCGCCCCCTCCTTACACTACCACAAATCAAAATGATCAAAGTCTTTGGGAGTCTTCTTGAGCCTTTAAAACTACAACTAAAGGTGTAATGAGGGGGCCTGCAGTCCCTGGAGTCAAGAACACTCCTGAGGGAACACTGCTTTCTTACACAATATGTTGCCAATACATCTCTAAAGTTCAAAGCACTTACAAAGTTAATTTTATTCAGAGAAAAAGAAACATCCTGACTCCAGCTGTCTTACTATGATCTGATAACTTCCCCGTATAGGCTGATTTTATTCTAGTATGTTTTCAGATGTTTGCCCTCCATGATAATGTAAAAGAGCACAAGGATCAAGTAGAAATTGGCCTACAGAATTAAGACTTCGAATAAAACTGAAACCATTTTCACCTTTCTGTACTTCTGGTCACTAAGGCCACTGTCATCTAATGACTTACTGTAACAGGAATCTTGCACATCGCCCAATTTCTTTTAAGAACCCATCTACCAAATAAGCCAGCATTTTAAGAATTTAATGAATGCATTCCACAAATATAGTCCTTTTCTTTGTATTGCTCCTCAGATAAAACCAGTGCCTGTGCCTCACTGAACTTGGCATCCTTCAGACTGTAATCCATTTCAAATCCCAATCTCCATGTTGAACTAAGTTAAACATTTTTAAAAAATGAGTTAAACATTAAAAAAAAAATTATTTTCTTCTATGAATGAGCTTTCCAACTTGCTTAATCTCCCAAAAGACATCTGCTTTCTGATGAAATCCAGGAACCTCCAACTCTGAGTAGAACATTCATTGTGTGGTCTTAAAAGAGCCATGTGTATGGATTACCCTTGCAATATACACTCCAAATTTGGATAAAACCTTCTTGCAGCTATTTGACATAATGTTCTATAAAACTGCTCCAAGAGATGACACATTTTAAAACTCCACACCGCATTTACTGAAACATGTCTAAATATAAAATTCATACAGAAAAAAAAAAAACAGGCAAACCCACAGCACTATTTTTAAAAGATTTGAGAATGACAGGGTTTTCCTAAAAAAAAAAAAAAATCAGCCTTTGCTGCCATCTAGAGGCAAAAACTTTTTAGTGAAACCAGAGTTACCAAGAAAACAAAATTAACTTGCAGCATCAGGGGTGTGGGAACAATGGGAACCCGTTAGGGCAGCTAGCCCTCCCACTGAGCTCCATTCCAAGCCGCACAGTCTTCACCAGCACATAACCACACAGCTTCATGGGAACAAGCCCCACCAATACTGTGCTCTGTCCTCAGCAGGTTTATTGGACAGATTTTGGTTCTAAATAACCTGTGGTACTCATTAAAAATTCATGTGCCCATACGCCACTCCAAGACAACCCAAGTCAGTAGATTCTGAGATGGGATCTGGGCAACTGCAGTGTTTTTAGAAGACCCATAGGTGGTTCTGATGAGCATCTAGGGAATCACTGGGGCATGCAGCCCTGGCTTTTCACAGCATTGAACCTCCCACACCCAGGCAAGCCAGAGTTCCAGATGAAAGAAAACTTAAAGCTTACATCTAAAGGAGGTTCAACTATGGCAGTGTTTCTCAAAGTGTGGTAGGCTGATAAACTGCGTTGGATGAATCACCCTCAGAGTTTATTAAACAATGTGGATTCCTGCACACATCTATATAAAATGAGTTACAAAATTTAGGTATAAGGTCCAGGAATCTATTTAAATAGATCCCAACACAGATTTTTGTATACTAAATAGGAGAATCACATCTCGACAAAGTTAAAGGCCATCACAGAAACCTATCTCGGAAAGGCTCTTGTTAATGCCATGTTCACAAGATCAGCCAAATTGCTTTAGTCTGTCACTGATTTCAACTGCAGCTGCTACTGCTCATGGTTTGGACGGTAAGGGTGATGCTCACAGAAACATCCTGATCCCTGAAGTGTCTCCTTTCTTTTTTATCCCTCAATATAAGTTGGTGTTGCTTTTTCTAACTGTATATTTATTATTAAAAATGTAGAAAATATAAGAAAAATAAAAAGTACCTATAACTCTACTAACCACAGTGAACTACTGATAGCACTGGTATATTTTCTCCTAGTATTTTCTCTTCAAACTTACATTGTGCAAGCATGTGTATAGTTTTACATCCTGCTTTTAACATTTCGGAACAAACATTTTCCTCTATGTTCAAAAGTATCATTATTTAAAGACAGCATAATATTTTTATGTGATTACAGTAATTCATTTACTCCATCCTGATCTTAAACTGTAAGATACCTTGCCTGCATCTCTGATTATTTCCAAGAAAAGACTCCTAGCAACAAAATGAATGAGTCACAGGGTGTGAATTTTAGGGATCTTGATACATGCTACCGAACTACTCTCCTAATCATTACTGAGGCTGCCTATCTCATGAAACCCTTACTGGGAACTGAATTTAATTTTAATTTTTTAAAAAGCTCTATCTATTTGAGAGCTAAAAACGTTGAGTGAGCATTTCACCACTGACAATGAGACTATGAGGACAGACTGAAAAGTAGGATAAGGTTTAAATAAGGAGGAGACTGATATCGGAGTACCAACATCCCATTTGCCATGGTTAGTATAAGTACAAAAGTACTCACAATCAGTAAGAACACTACAGTCCAAAACCTCTTCTAACACCTACACATAAAGAAGACTGACTACATGTACAAAAGAAAGCATACTCCCCATATAGCTTATCCTTAACTGAAGGACTCATATTTTTAGCCAAGTCTGTAGTGTTCATTTGAAAATCTAAATATGGTTGCTATAAAAGTCAGGGAGCATTTTAAATAAGTGAATGTTTACATAAAGGGATAAAGGGACTTCACTCTATCAATACAGTAAGTGGAAACAAATTTCTATAGAATGAAAAACAACACAAGAAGGGTTCCCATGAACACAGTACTAGAAATCTGTGATGAAAACTACAATGCATTTTTTAAAGACATATTTTTTAGCTCACAGCAAGAAAAGGATAATGCAACCACAGAGGGGGGAAAATCATGATCAGCAGCAGCAGCAGCAGCTATAGATTATAATGGGAGAACTACAGTTTGCTGAGACCTCTCTCCCATCTCATTGCCAACAAGTGTTCTCATTCAAGAGTATCTTTCCTTAATAAATGAAAACAAAAGTAATAGTTCTAGGTAAATAAGAACTTAATCAAGCCTTCAATCTTTTTACACTCCACAACCTACTCTCCCAGTTCAGAACACTGTAAGTCTTCCTTCACCACCCATATGTTAACAATGCATATTAATACAATCCTGCCTCCACAATGTGTCTCCCTTCAACCTATGTGCTCCCTATTCCCTGTCCCCCACCCCCACACACAGTCTATAGAATCAGAAACAATTTTTCCTATCTAGCCCCAGCCTACATTCCCATTTCTCCTCTACAATACAACTTAATTTGAAGTCACTGCTTTTCTCAACTGTGTCCAATGTCCTACCTCATGGACACTGCTAAAGTATTCCTTTATTCTAGAATGCCCTTCCATTCCTGCTATTAAAAACCCTCAAAGTTTTGGAGGCCCAAGCCAAATGCTACTTTCTTTATCAATCCCTATTAGATCCCTCAGTTGAAATTAACCTTTCTCTGGTAATCTCATGACCCTCTGAGATTAAGTTGGGACACTACTCTTGTTTATCTCCCATTATACTAACAATTGCCAAAAAGCAAGAAACATAAGCTATTTATCTCTGTATCTAGTACTATCTGCTGTTTAGGGCCTTGCACACAACACATGGTCAAGACATGTTGGAAGAATTGCTTTTTGAAATTTTTATCTTCAACCTGATAACCTTAAATCTGATGAGTCTCCACAACCTAGTACTTTCAAAGAAGCCAACTCCTCCAAGTTCACTCTATGTCCTGAGTAATGTCTGCTTCTCCACCAACTGTACCATTAATTACTTTCTGTTCTTCTGTTTAATTCAAGATCAAGGATGTATGCAAGCAGAGAATCCCAACACGGATCCCTAAATCAAAATCTACAGCCACCACTAAGCTTTCCCCTAAAGCTCCCCCAGGGCCTATGGATAAGCCTATTTACCACCCTGGCTGTGGGAAGCTACACATCATAAGGACTATCACCTCTAACACTTTCCTCCACATTGGAGGGAAAAGGTAAGTCATACCAGTACAGTGCCTGCATACAGAAATATCTGGAAAGCTGATATTATCAGTGCAGAAGGCCTAAGAAGAGCTCTCTCTCCAGAAAATGGTGAAGCAGCAGAATTACAGATGGTTCCTTCATAAGTTGCCAGACATGAAAGAGCAGTGCATCTACAATTATTTTACCTGTTTACGTGCATATACTTATATACACAATCACAGGCCCAAATACACACCTCAAATCCTCCCAATTTCTCATCCTACTGTAATCCAACTCACAACTGGACTATCATTAGCCTGGGATAGAACTGAATTCATTAAAACAGTGCAAGTTTTCTGATGAACTCAGAAGTAACCGTTCATTCCACAGAACTTTACTGAATACTTTACTGAATCATAGTTTGCTAAGAAGATGTGTTAGTGAGAATGCCTAATCCGCTTCAATAAAGTCAGATTATTTCCATTAAAATGACAGGACAATTAATCACATCTCTTCCCTGAATCAACCATATAAAAAAAATCAGTTGATTCAACAAAAACTTGGGATCAGGAGACTCAAATTCCAATCCTAGCTTTTCACTTGTTTGACACTGAACTTAATTTTCATCAGTCTAGGCCTCAAGTTTCTCATATGTAAAACAGGAACACTGAATAATTCTTGAGGTCTCTTTCAGTTCTGATAAACCAGAAGTATGTCCAACTACAGAGTGTTGAATTCAACCAGTCACCTCTAAGGCAGGACTTGGATCCCTGGAAGTAACCTAAAATAATTCTTTTCATCGCACTAAAAGCTCTCTGACTGAATTAAGAGAAAGGTATGTCTGTAATTTAGTGTGGACAGAGAAATACAATGATGTTTTAAGACAAATACGGCATTTTTGACATGGGAGACAGGTATATTAGACAAAGCTTCAGTCAGGAAAAAAAAATCCATGACGAGCATGACCCAACATTCTTTGTGATCCTGTACCAAGAACTGGAGGCCTGATCTTTGAAGACATCCTCATGGCTAAGGACAGTGCTTTAGCCAGCTACCCTGGGATGGAGTCAGCAGAGCAAGAGCAAAGGAAGGACCAGTCTTCACCCTCATCTAGCCACGTCTGTTTCAGCACACTGATGTCACTATACAAATATTCCTGGGCCCACTCCAATTTCAAGAAGGAGGAGAAGGAGCTGGAAGCTCGATCAACATTGGGCTGTGCAAGCCAAAGAGAGGGACAATGTGCAGCAGTCCCAGCAGGCATGTGGAGGAGGAGAAGGTGGGGAGGTTGGGTAAATTAAAGGTCTGAAGTGGAAAAGTCTAAGTTAAAGGAGAGCTGTAAAAGAACAGTGGAAGGAAGTGGACTACAAAAGAAAGTGATGAAACTCTGACACAAACATAATACAAGAGACAGTTCAGAGTGAAGTACAGGGCAGAAGCAGGCGGCTGGTGCAGTGAGAAAATGTGTAGCGTGCTTAGGGCTGTGCCTGACATAGGCAGGTAATGTTAAGAGAACAGAGGATGAGTGAATGAGCTAACTAAGGACCATTCAGTCAAGACATTAAGTGGAATAATGTGCTAAGAGATAGCAATGGACAGGGTCAGGAAAAGTAGTTATGCCAGGTGACATTCACCATGGTTAATTATGCTAACAGAAAAGAAAACACTGGAGCTCCTACAGTGAAAAACAAACAGACTGAAAAGAAGCATAAAACAGGAATATAAGCACCAACAATACTCCCACAAAAACAAAATACCTGGGAACATTTTACCTTAAAGAGAAACACAAAATTTGTATGTTGGAGATTCCAAAATTGGTTTCACCTAAGTCAGGAGACTCTCTAAAGTACATTCTCATGCCAAGATGGCATAGTTCAAGAGCAAACAAGAAAATGGGGACAAGATACTGTACAAAGTATTAAAAAAAAAACAGTAGGAATATAGACAAAAGCCTTTAAAATAACAAAGTCTATTTTAACAAAAGGATTAACAACCAAAATCTATGCTTCCTTTAAAGCAATACATACTACAATAAAAAAATGCATAAAAAGCTTAGAACAGGGAATACTATTTGGAGTTCAACAGTGTTTGACCTACAACACAACCGAAACATAAAGAATCCTGCCTCTTGAGCATAATCCTGTTTCTGCAGAAATGTGGCCCCTCTGAAGCACCATGAAAATAAAAGAAACTATCCTAATTAAATCCAGAGTGACTTCATTGATTTTTTTAAAAAGCAGCAGGTAAAAATCCAAGTGAATGAAAACAAATCCACTTTAAAAAAATATTTTAATAACCTGATACTTCTATGCTGGAGTCTTTCCTCAACCCTTCATTTACTTAGCTTCAATGATTTTTGTCATTTTTGGGGATAAAGTATTTGATTTTAATAGGAATGTGAGTGATCTAATATACAACTGATAATTATGGACTGAGTAATGGAGTAACTGATGTAAAATTGCACAACTTTCTCTGGGGTATATTTCAAATTCCTGCTGTTAGGGACATGTAACATACAACTCGTGGTCTGACACTGAGTTTGGGACAGGGGTCTGCAAATTGCAGTCTGAAGCCCACATTCAGCCCACCATCTGTTTTTGTAAGGCTTGCAAGCTCAGACTGTTTTTACATTTTTAAGTAGCATAAAAAAAATCAAAAGAAGTATACTTTATGAGATGTGAAAATTACATGAAGTTCAAATTTCACTGCCCATAGATAAGGTTTTATTGGAACAGAGCCACACTCACTTGCTCACAGATTGTTTTTGACTGCTTTTATGCTATAGTGGCTGTGTTGAGTAGTGATTGCAACTAGACAGCAAAACCTAAAATATTTACTATCTGGCCTTTTACAAAAAAGTATGCTGACCTCTGGCCTAGTGTGAACTACACTAACAAGGAACCAGGAACGAGAGCTTAAGAAGAACTTAATCAACTAATTCTGAAAAGCAATACTAGCAATTTAAGAATTCAATTAAGAATTGTAGACCGCTGATGAAAATAGGTAAACTACATGCAAGCTGTTTGTGATATATTTAGTAAAATAAATAATTTCATGAATACACTAGTATTCAACTAAGGACATCAGATAAGAACGGGTCAAAGGATTTCTGCCACAAAATAATGTAATGGGTCACTGTTGGATATGAGGGGGGAAATGGAAGTATTTCTGGGCCTTCCAAATTCCTGGTATCTTTCAAGAGATTAATAACATTTAGCAAAATTACTGTGCAAGTTATTAAAAGAAAGATGTGTAAATTTGTAACCTTAAACATTCATAGTTATTTCCAAGAACCACTTGTTTAATCACTTGTAAGAATCATGGCAATTGTATACAGTAAAACTAGCCCATAAAGGTTATGTTTGGGCCCACTTGTTACACAGTCCTCAAGTACTGAATAATGACTAATAACAGTGTTCTCTCTCTTCGGTTTCCTTCCCCTAGCCTTTAAAAATTTATCCTGCCCCCTGTTTTTGGTCCTTGAACATTTCTCTTAAAACATTGCTTGCATTTTGACTGAACTACATCGATGTATAAATTCCACAATATAAGCAAAATATGTTTTTTCCCTCCAACTTCATTACAGTGTCTAAAATAGGGCCAAGTATGAGAACTCAATAAATGATTTTGAAAAAGATATGCCCTGAAGTTGACCTTCTTTGTGCATCATGAACATCTACTGTAAATATTTCAAGCCTGAATTTTCTATGTAGACGTAATGCTTTACAACATTTACCATACATGGCTGCCTATAGGTAAAATTAAAACTGTAAAGACCTAACTCCAGTTTGAGAAAAAGAATAAAGAGCCAAAAACCAATTATTCAGGTTTAAAAGATCCAAGGGGTTACCCTATTTCATCATTTCCAGAAGGAATTCTGAATAAAGCAGTGTGATGTGAAGGAGGTAGTATAAAATATTACAACAAAAAAAATTTACAATGCTCATTTCAGCAGTCTCAAACAAAATAAGCAATCACATTGATTCTAGGTGACAAAAACTGTCACCAGTAGGAATTACTGGCTCATTTACAAAAGCAAAAGTCTGTTGTCCCCTTTCAAGACATAATTTATAAAACTAAATCTGAATACTGTTAGAATACGTCAGGGGACACAGTAGTACAATTAGGACTTCTAACATATTTTTAGAAAGAGAAAGGCAGCATCTCCAAATCTTTCAAAAGCCTGGGCAGGATTTTGAGAATTTTTCCAGAGGACCAAGTTGTTTTAGATGTGGAACTCTTATGTCAAAGTCTCAGAAATGTGGCTATGAAATATTAACAGTTAACTACTTAAGGAACAAAGTCTAAACGAGCGCCTTCTAAGTACCCAGATACTACTACTCTAGGACCTAAGGATACAACAAAGAATGAGATAAACAAATCCCTGCTCACATGGAGCTTTACATTCCAGTGTGGTGAGACTAATAATCTTAACAAGGAGAATAACATTGATGCTAAGTGTTCTACTGCATAATGTGAAAATATAATAGGACAACCAGATAGCCGCTCTAGACTGGCTGACCAGGAACTCCCTTTTTGGTGATGTCTGAATGGAGGTCTTAATGTTAAGAGAAGAACAACCCCCATCTGAAAAATTCAGAAGGATAGCCCAGAAAGGAAAAGGAACAGTTACTGCAAAGGGCTAAGACCAGATGAGGTTGGCCTGTTGAGGTACAGAATGAAGGCTGGCGTGGCTGGGACAGCATAAACTAGAGCAGAGTAAGTAGTAGAAGATCTGAGAGATACCAGCTATGGCAAATAATCTAGGATTTTTTTCCTGGCATCCTGGGGAAGCCATTTATGGTCTAAACAGGCATGTGATCTAATCACTCTGGCTGTTGAGTGAAGAATAGCCCAAAGAGGGACAAGATATAAACTGGAAGCCTTATTAAGAGTTCACTGCAGTGGTTAAGGCAAATAAGGATGGAGATAACAAAGAAGAAAAATGAGAAAAAAGGTTCAGGTAAGTTTTGGAGGTAGAGACAAGACTTGATGGATCAGGAGTGAGGGGTGAAGGAAATAAGTGAATATATCAGGCCTTTATTGTGAAATTGGGTAGCTGGTGAGGGAAGGCAGGTTTGGGTGATAATTTAGTATTTGGGTCTCAATTGCAATTGACATTCCTATTAAATAAGTAAAGACGTCAAGAAAATAGCCAGGTGTGTGAGCTTTGAGCTCCACGATCAAGTTTGAATTCCTGGCAAAGACTGTTTTCAAAGCCCAATGGTATAACCTACTTATTTGTATCTCCAAGTTATCAATGTTCTTTAGAAGAGTAAGCTTTGGGATATTAAGGTTTAATAGACATACTCTAATAACAATGATATATATAAACAAAATGATTTATAAACTATGAGCCTCTTTAAATTGATAAAGAATTGTTACTTTAGACATAAAATCCTTACCATTGATAATGAGGATAATTATCTATGAGAAATTTAAGTGCACAAGACTGATTTCAGATTGCCTGCCTATGAATCACAGTCTCCCTTACTTATCTACTGAATAACACTGGCCGAATCACTTAACCACTTATGCCTCCATTTCCTCATCTATAAAAATGGGGATAACAATAACTAGTCATGGTGCACTTGGGAATATTAAATGAGCGAGTACACATAAAACAATCAAAACTGGACATGGCACACAGTAACCCTCAAAAAATTCAAGTTAGTATTATTATCTGTAGTCTCCTTACACTGTGCATAGAAGTATCTTCACACTTCAGTTTTCTAGTTAGATGCTTGATAGGAGACGGACATATGAAAAACCCTCCTCAAAAAGAGTACAGGCTAAGAGTTTTGCAGACTGCTAAAAACATCCTCTTTAAAAGTAAACTATGTGCCAGTCATTCCTCAATCTGAATCTCTAGCCCTGACTCAACTTGGAAGCTCCAGACTCATATCAGCTGCCTACTGGACACTCTAGTAATTTAATAGACATATTATTGAATTATATGCATAGGCATATTACTGGAATAAAAAGGGAAAAAAATCAGTGTTCTCTTTTCAGTAAGTGAATGATGAAGGGACCAACTTCAACTGCAGAAACTCAGCTCTGCTAAGTAAGTCACAAAATCCATGTGGCTTCGTACTTAGAAAGTGCCCAGTTTGGTAAACTACATGAAATCTCAGGCATCATACCTGCTTCACTTTAGCATTAATGTTTTGCAACCATGATTCTACTGCATGTATTGTTTACTATAAATCACTTCAAATAATTTCTAAGGTAGGCAGGGAATGAAGAAACAAGTGAAATGAAATGAAACAAAGTATTAGATGCCATTAGACAACTCCTAGGCTCTGTTGCCTTAGGGAGACTGGGCTTCACATTCTTCAGCAGAGGCAACTCTCAGCTGTCTTCGCCTGGGCCATGATTCCAATTACTACCAATGATGTCACCAGATGTCATAGAGCAACCAGACATTCCATGTAGACCAGGATATCCCCTGCAAAATTTTAAAAGCACAGCTGTCCACTCTCAAATAAAAGTGTCTGTATTGGATGAGAAATTATATGTGTACCTGTGTGGATCACCAAGAGCTCTGTAGAATCTAGCATGCATGCATTCATTCATTCAGGTAATAGCTGCCAAACACAAGCTAAGTGCCAGGTCCCATGCTGGGCTCCAGTACAGTGCAGGATTCTAGTACAAAAATGACAGGTCTTGAAGAATATTAAGAAGTATGCAAAAAGGGTCATCTGTAGATCAAGAGCTTCATTAAGAGTTTCTGAGTTATATACAACATTAAAGACCATGAGAGCAGCAACAACATAGTACATTTCTTTAGACAATAAACAGATTGCTGGATGCATTAGACAGGTGCTGTACACCATGTGTATCAGTGTTTGGGTATGTGTGTGTTTGTATAGTTTGTTCTTAGAAAACATGAACAAGAATTCATGACCATGAATGTTAGTCCTTTGTTGTAGATACAGATTCTGAATAAATGACTAAAATGCTTCATCATCTTGCCACCATTAAGTGTGAACTGGTTAACAGGTGATGTTTACTTTTATAGGCAAACAGCATAGCCTACAACAGGAATAAAGGTATCATTAATTTTCCCTTTCTCTGACTTAAAGCATTTGTCCTTTGAATTTCAAAACAAAATGTAATTCACACATTTTAGGCTGATCTTTTCCCATTGATAAAGGTAGAATCAGGAAATATGAATTGGTTTGGCTGTGAGTCCTTCAGAATTAGAAATGCTATACAAATTAGACAAATCACCAGTAAATAACCAATCAAGTAGTGCTCAAGGAAGCTTATACACTCACTTATAAGCAGTCAACAAAGCAGAGGCCCCTGATAAACTAAATGTTAGCAACTTTCAAAACAGTCTTACAGCTAGCAGGAACCTAAGAAGTAAGGTGACTCTGAGGATGTCAACTCAGATGAAGGAGGCTGTAGCACTTTAAAGTTCTAACTAAATTCCACGTTTAGAACTGTTGGTAAAACCCTTAGAAAGATGACCGTAAGGACCCCTCGTTTTATAGATCATAATACTGAGGCTCAGAGAAGCCACATGGTAATAGTGGGAAAAGTGAAAGCCACACTTGACTAATCTCTTCCTAGATCTCTTCCTTGTGGTGTGTTCCTAAAAACATTACTTTTCAGTTTCTCATCTATAAAAATTAAGGTAACATTTACCTATGTTACGCAGATTAAATGAATTCATATTTATGAAAACATCAGGCACATAATAGATGCTCAATGTGTTAATCTCCTTCCTTCCAAAGAGTGACTAACTTGAGAGACACATAACTGGTGAGGGGCAAGAGAAGGACTAGAAGGAAGACCTAGGCCCTTTCACCACTCAGAAGAAATTCATTTATTAAATGGCCTATATCCTTGAATCAGCCTACAAATATAGCTTTTAACACCTTAGTGGAGGGGAGGAGAGGTTAGTAAAGAAAATGTAGAACACCACAGCCCCCAAGGAAAGGTATTTGTGCCTTCAAGCACAGAGATACATTTGTTAGAAACAAAGATGCAAATGAGTCAGGAAGTCTAAAGGAGGAAGTATTATATTGGCTACCTTTCAAAAAACGACAACTGCTCAATTTGTACCTGAAGCCTGCCCTGCTGGAAAAAGTGCAGTAGCAGAATTTAGTTGTTTTAATGAGTATTTCACAACTCACATTTCAAGATTAGTATTTGCAGCAAATATGTATCGAGTGTCAATCATGTGCAGGGTCCTGTGGACTATACAGACATGAATCAAACTTTGGCTTTATCTTAAAGTCTTAGAATCTAGTAGAGAAATGAGGCAGACTTTAAACGGTGACCTAACTGTATATTAAGCCTTATGGGACTTGAAAAGTTCAAGGTAAGCCTGTGGTGATGGATCATTTAATGCTATCTACTCAAGGATAAACGTCCACTGCGTTGGCATCAGGTACGCATAGCACAATGCACGGGTTTGAACTGTTAACTGAATTTTAGCCTTGCTTCTGATATCAACCAGCTATGGTAACTCCTCAGATTACTTGACATCTTTAACTCATGCGCATCATCTGAAAAATGGGTGAATTCAAAGGGACTATCGCTAGGCCTCCTTTAGTCTCTAATAGTCCAAATTACATGACAATGATGAGAGCGAGAAAAACTATGTATTTACAGCGCACATATTATGTGGCAAGCACTCTGTGGTAAAGCGCGTCACTTGTAATATCTTCATTTAATTTTCACAATAATCTATGAAGCTAGCATTACTGTCTTTATTTTACAGATGAGAAAAAGGAGGAGAAAAGGTATTAGAGACTGCGATTTGAACGCAGGCAGTCTGAGTCAAATACAGGAGTTACCTTGAACCACTATGCCCACACTCCCCATCTTCATGGAATCTGCCTTAGCCCTTAAGAAATAAGAAAACGAAAAGCAGCGTGGAAAAGGGTCCTTTCCTGACTGGCGGGCGCGGTTGAGTTCATGTCACATTAGGTCCGTTTCACGTGTTCTAAGTCTCTGGCACCACCTCCAACGCGATGGCGCGCACCACAGCGGGACCGAAGGCGGAGACGGCCGTGGCGGGCCCGGGCGGAGGCGCACGGAAGGGTTAGCGGGCGAGAAGGCCCCACAGGAGCGCGGACAGAGTGGGTACCTGGGCTGCTGGGTGCTTCTGCGGGCTGGTTCGCCCACCACTCGTCTCCAAGATCGTCTGCCATCTCCACGCGGGACTCCACGTAGGCGGAGCACAGGGAAGCGCAAGCGGCGGATTGCACTCACTCTGCCTCCCAGCGCTTCAGCCGGCGTTGGCAACACGCGGACCTCTCCCTAGACACGGTCGCCCCGCCCCGCGGCGATGACGACACAATCGCCACGCCTCCCAGGCCGCCGTGCGCGACTCCTCGCAGTTTCCACACAGTTGCTGATGGGCATGATCGTGAGGAGACTCGGAATAAAAACTCAGAAAAGCATAAAGAAAAGAAGACGCATAAACAAAAAATACTATCGTATTTTAAAATAAATTCTTTTAAAACATTTTGTTTAGTCTAGTTCCCCCTCCCCCCCCCCGCCCCCCGAAAAGATATTGACGAAAGTATGAAACAGGATACTAAGACAATTTCCTCTGTTGGGTTTGAAGAACCGGCACCGCGGGAGAAGATCCGAGCACGTGGGTGTTTTTGTTCGTGTGGTCCTGTTTGGACGTCCTTGTATTCATATAATTTGCTCTTAGAAAACATGCACAAGAACTCGTGACCATGAATGTTGTCCCTTTGTTGTAGATGGTACTGCTATTTTTATGTGGTATGAGTACTGAAAATGATTGGTCCCTAAGGGCTCGTTCAGGGAAAGACCTAAGTGGTCCGCCGAGTTGAGTCCACTCCGCGACAACCCCTTCGCTTATGTTATTCCCCGTTTTGTGATACTAAGTGGGAGGGAGTCCATTGCTGCTTAACAATAGGTAAGAGATATAGATACAATGTTTCTTGTCTCACCCCCAAGATAAAGTAGTAGAAATAAAGTAGGCTCTGAGTTATGAGGCCTGTTCTAAGAGTTGACGGTATTTTTCAGGACAATCTTCATACACAAGAGGTAAAAACATACAAAGACGTATTAAATATACACAATATGCCTGGCACTGCACTTGGGTTAGTGGTTAAAGATGAATAGGATACGATCCTGCTTTCCCGATGTCACCAACTAGAGTAGGGGAGCCGGAACTTGGCAAGAGTAAAGGTCTGAAGTAATGCTAGGATACATCCTTGGAAATGACAAGGGCAGAGAATCTTAATCTTAACCTGCCCAGATAATAGGTGGCTTATAAATGCACAACTGATTGGATTTTTATCAGTATGCCTTAAAAGTCCTGAAAGGGGAGATATTAGGTATAAATGTGGTAAATGTAAAATCATTTATAATCATCAAAAGTAGTGTATCTTTCATGAGGCAGTGTAGATGACAGAAGATTTTGATGGTTGACATAATTGAAAAGGAAAGTTAGGTAAGAAATAACAGAGTGAGAAAGGAATGCCATGACTAATAAACATATGAAAAGATGTCTGCTTGATTAGTTATCTGTGAAATACAAAAAAGACTGTAATGAGATACTGTTTTTCACACAGCAAACTGGTAAAATTAAGAAGTCTAGAATTACCAAATTCTGGAGAGTATGTGCAACATTGGGAATTCTCACACATCACTTTTTTTTTTTTGAGAGGGCATCTCTCATATTTATTGATCAAATGGTTGTTAACAACAATAAAATTCTGTATAGGAGAGTCAATGCTCAATGAACAATCATTAATCCACCCCAAGCTTAATTCTCAAGTCTCCAATCTTCTGAAGCATAATGAACAAGTTCTTACATGGTGAACAAATTCTTACATAGTGAATAAGTTCTTACATGGTGAACAGTACAAGGGCAGTCATCACAGAAACCTTCGATTTTGATCATGCATTATGAACTATAAACAATCAGATCAAATATGAATATTCATTTGATTTTTATACTTGATTTATATGTGGATCCCACATTTCTCCCTTTATTATTAATATTTTCATTTTTAATAAAATGCTGAAGTGGTAGGTAGATGCGAGATAAAGTTAGAAAACATAGTTTAGTGTTGTAAGAGAGCAATTGTAGATGATCAGGTGTGTGCCTGTAGACTATGTGCTAATCTGAGCTAGACAAGGGCAATAAAACATTCACGGATGCAGAAGATTTCTCTCAAAATGGCGGGGTGAGGTTCTAAGCCTCACCACTGTTGATCCCCAATTTCTCACCTGATGGCCCCCCTGCGACTGTGCCTGTCTTAGGTT